CCTGTGTCCCCTACCTCTAGATGGACACAGACTTCAGAGAATGATCTTGGTATTTGTCTTTTGTCACTTGGTGGTGAAGGGAAGTGGTAGAAGAAGACATTTAGAACCCTGGGGTTTGTGTTTACATCTCTGGGCTTGAGGACCAGACTTATAAGAACACACTGACTCTCAGATCTATCCTCTGCAGTCATGGCTTGTGATTGTTCAGGGACCTCTGGTGTTGACAGTCCTCTGAGTAGCTGATTAAAAATTGCTTTAAAACAAATCAATTTTCAGGATTGATTTGATAGTGAAGAGTCAGGAAAGAACTTTAAACACTTCAGATACTTAAGACAAAAGTATAGTTTGCTATTGGATACCTTAAAGGTTGAGCCATCAAAATTGAGATTTTATAGTCTCATTATTTACTCTTGTCTGTCAGGCGATTAGAGACAATAAGCCCATTGGAATTCTCCTTTTCACTTGGCCCAAATATGTATTCTCTTCATTCAAGGTACTCAGAAATATGTCCTAATATTTGAGTTGAAGAGTCTTTTCAAGAATTTTCACACACACACAAAAATACCCTGTTGAATAATCATGCAGGTATGGAACTGGCAGACTTATGACATCTATGAAATACAAAAAGAAAATGATTACCAGCGAGCCACTGCCTCGTTCAGAAACTCATTCTATTCATATTAAAAAGCCCTGAAGTTGAGAGCTAAAATTAGTTGCTATTTAATAGCTGTCTATGTTTTAAGAAAGAAATTAGATATTATAAATTAGGTATTCAGAAACTTTTCAAAAAAGGGGCTCTGAGAATTTAGCATTGTTCATTAAGTTAGTGGAGTGTGGGTGATGAAGGAAGTGGGAGTCTGTAAAATGAAAATTAGAAGGGGACATTGGCTGAAAAATAAAACCAGTCAAAATTGCTCTTAAATAATAATAAAGAATAGTATGTTAGAATCTCTGAAAGACTGCCACTTTCCATAGGATGACCACCTAGTTCAAATTAGAATGCAATGACTAATGACTCAAGCAAGGGTAAGTCAAGTTATGACCCAATGTATGTTATAAATAGAGCATCTAAAATTACTAGTAACACTCTTAAGGCACTATTAGTTAGAGGCTAAAGTAAAACATTGGTTTTCACTAGGTAATGGAAATACAGTAAATAGCAATAAGAAAGGAATGAAACATTTTTTTTCTTTTATTATTCATATGTGCATACAAGGCTTGGGTCATTTCTCCCCCTGCCCCCACCCCCTCCTTTACCACCCACTCCGCCCCCTCCTCTCCTCACCACCCCCTCAATACCCAGCAGAAACTATTTTGCCCTTATTTCTAATTTTGTTGTAGAGAGAATATAAGCAATAATAGGAAGGAGCAAGGGATTTTGCTGGTTGAGATAAGGATAGCTATACAGGGCATTGACTCACATTGATTTCCTGTGTGTGGGTGTTACCTTCTAGGTTCTTTTTGATCTCACCTTTTCTCTAGTTCCTGGTCCCCTTTTCCTATTGGCCTCAGTTGCTTTAAGGTATCTGCTTTAGTTTCTCTACGTTAAGGGCAGACCTATCCTCACCCCTCCCTTGTGTGCTCTCGCTTTTATCATGTGCTCATAGTCCAATCCCCTTGTTGTGTTTGCCCTTGATCTAATGTCCACATATGAGGGAGAACATATGATTTTTGGTCTCTTGGGCCAGGCTAACATCACTCAGAATGATGTTCTCCGATTCCATCCATTTACCAGGGAATGATAACATTTCATTCTTCTTCATGGCTGCATAAAATTCCATTGTGTATAGATACCACATTTTCTTAATCCAGAATGAAACATTTTTTAAATTTAAATTACCATACTAGATACTGGCTGCTGACCATGGTGGTGCATGACTGTGATCCCACACTTGGAAGCAGGAGAATAGAGTTCAAGGTCATCCTGAGCTACATAATGAGACCCTGTCACACATACACAAAAAGTTTCAATGGTTTCTGAGATGTCTTTTGCTGTCATTTTGTTGAGTTCATTGTCTTTTAAATAGACTTCTTGAAAAATCAGTAAAATTGAGGTTCACAGTAAAATTGAGAAGATAGACATTTCCCTTCCCTACACAGAAATATACAGCCTCTCTCCTTTTTCAATATCCTGTATCAGAGCTCTACACTTGTTACAATGGAATCTAATTGACACCTCATTATCAATGAAATTCCTTAGTTTACATTAGGGTTCACTCTTGGCTTTGCATATTTTATTTATGGGTTTAGACAAATGTATAATAACAGATATTCACCACTACAGTATCATTCAGAGTGCCATCATTGCCCTAAAAACCCTCTGTACTCCATTATGCACCTGACAACCCTAAATGCTGGTGAGGATGTGGAGCAACAGGAACTCTCATTCACTGTGGATTCACTGTTGCTTTGGATTTTACCACATTCTAATTTCCCAGCACAGCCTAATAAATTCTGCACACACTAAGCCCAATCTCAGAGCCAGCTTCTCAGAAAATCCTACCAGTGAAGACAATTTCATCTTCAATGGGAATTCTCTGCATTGTTTCAAATTCCACAGGGGGTGAAGAGGATGGAAGTACGCTACATAAACCCATATGAAGACAGCAGAAACATGCCAAACACTGAAAGAGGGGGAAAGAGAGAGGGAAAAAGAAAATATAAGGGAGGGGTGACAAGTTCAAGGTACACTGTACACATTTATGGAATTTATCACTGGGAAATCCCCTTGTATTATTAATGGATGATTCAGAACAAATTTAAAAATTAAAAAATAAATAAAATGATGTCCCAAGCTCAGTTATCACCTTATCTCCCATGTTTCCCATGCATTTTTTTGTTTTGTTTTGTTTCTGAGAATAACACCACATTTTTTACTATTCTGTATGGAAACTGCTTTTTTGGTTTTTTTTACTCTCTGTAATCATTACACTACTTCAACAGGCACCAAATTTTGTTTTTCAACTCTAATATTCCTTTCTCTATCTACTACCAGAACTACTGTCTTGGTCCTTGTGACTTGAAATCTAAGCTACTGTGAATATCTGGACACCTTGTTTCTTATTTCCTATTCTGAACTTTCATACATCATACTTCTAAGTCAGTTTTTCTAAATCAAAAGCTTTATAAAAACTCTATTCAAGAATCTCTACTGATTGGTTTTGTATTTTGTAAACTCTGGGAATGTTGCTTAATAGTCTTATGTGTATTTGTATCTACCTTCATCTTGTAAACTCCTAGAATTGAGTTTTACTTACTGCATGATCATGATGAAAACAGAGGCCAGAGAAGGAAGCCCAATAAGTTAGAAACCAAACACCTAAATTTGAACAAATATTCTATTATTAACATTATCCTCAGAAATTCACATTTTAAAGTTACTAAAGAAGCTAACGGGATTTACCTATTGTGATTTTACATCATTGATATTATAGACTCTTTTTTTGTGAGACTCGGTTTGATCTCAGGGCTTCATGTTTGCAAAGCAAGTGCTATATGACTTAAGCCGCACTTCCAGCCCTGTATAATCTTAATTATCTCAGCAAATTGTAGAGGATAAAAGATGGGAATTGAAAGGATTGTAAATTTATTTAATAAAATTCATTTATTTTGAATGATACTTTACCCACATTTTAGAATGTAATTTACATAAAAACATCAGTGTAAACACTTCACTTTTGTAAACATTCATTTTGAAATGCTTAATTTTTTTATTAGTTTTTTTTCAAATAGGATGTATATAATTTGTGTATTACTAATAAAATTAGCTTAATGTTGCCAGAGTTAAGGACAGCTATTGGCAAGAGGGTCCTTAAAACTGTATGCTGGATTTTCCCAATGGATAACTACATGTGTTATGATACAGAAAATATGTTAACTTGAGGAATAACTCAGAAAATTCTTCTCTTCACTGTTTTCTATAGAAAGCCAGAACTTTTAATGTCATGGGACAATATGTGTAAAAATCAGATACACGGAAAATTTGATCTTACTTTAAAAAACTATAGACCACTAGACATTAGCTACAACCTTGTCTCAGAAGGAATTTGTCTTATTGAAATAAGTGATCTTTAAAGGTTTTTTTTCACATAAACAATAAAATTATACAACCACTGTAATATATGAACAAAAATGTTTTCCTGTTTTATATGGGAGTCTGCTTATAATTCAGCCTAGTCATCTTGACACATCACAAATTCACCAGTGTTGACAAAAATATTTAGAATCTACAATCTAGTGATTAGTGAAATCTCCCATACATCCCTTCTGGAAAATGAGTGGACCAGGATTTAAATTTTAACTGTCACTAGCTAATTAGAGATGTTCAAACCTGAGTGCTCAGAAGGGATGATGTTAGCCCTGCTAACAGTTGGAGTAGAAAACTGTATAGAGTTCTAAACCTTGCCAATGAGCTAGAGGGTCCCCAAAGAAGCTAGTCTATAGGATGAAAAAAACATTTGTAGCAGACTTCCAGTTGTTCTCCAACATCCATTCTTCCCTTCTGCAACAGCATGGCTACCAATTGTGAGTCTGGCCCATGACCACTCAGAATAAAGGCTGCTAGTTTTTCGTTAGCTGTGGCCACTAGGCTAAGTGAGGTCTGTCTTATGGGATATAAAAAGTAGTTTATGCAACTGGTGGGAAGTCACATCTACTTTACTTAATTATGAAAAGGCCTCATGGAGAAGGTGGCATTGGGGGGATATTAGGATTTTGCTCTGTAAGTCGGTGTCAAGGTCAAGTTTTCACAAAGGTGGGCTAAACGTTGTCTCACGGTTATGGCTCTGTGTGCGTGTGTGTGCACAAGCACTGGTGTAGAGAAGTCTGGCAGAGTAACCAATATGACATTACTGTTATAAAATATCTTATGATAGTCATGGTTGTCTCGCTCATTTTTGGACTTCAGCCTGGTTCAGGGCGCTGCGCTGGTCAAAGGGTGGGGAATGTGATACGGGTCGAGGTGGTACCGCCGGTGCCGGGCGGCAGGGGGCGCCGGCGCGCGGTCGGGTCAGGCCGGGGGCCACCAGTACCGCCGCGCGGGTCCCCACGGTGGTGTACGCCATGCGCGCGCTGCTGCCTCTGCTGCTGCGCACGGGCCGGGGGTGGCGCGCGGAGCCCGCTGTCGCCGCCCGCCTGCCGGGGGGAGCGAGCGCAGGAAGCGGGGCGCGCCGGGCCATGGCCCTGTACCGCACGGAGGAGCGCGGCCAGCCCAACTCTCCCGAGTACCGCCTCTTCTTCAGTGAGTAGCGAGCATATGTCCGGGCGGGAGGTGTCCGGCTGCGGGGGTGGCTTGGAGAGGGCACCTGCCCCTGTCCCGCGCGGCCTGTCGGCCTCTCTCAGGCCCTCGGCAGGCTCCGCGCGGTCCAGGCCGCCTTCTCGCACGCGGGGGTGGACTGCGAGGCCCGGGGACCAAGACCCCTCCCGCGGGCGCGAGATGCCCTTGACCGAGCCAACCGCTTCCCGCCCCCACCCCGCACTCCGCACTCCGCGGTGGGCGGGGTGCGCGGCCCTGTGGCGGCGGCCGAGGCCGAGCCCTTGGCCCTGCGCTCGCGCTGCTTGGTGACTTAGGACCCAGAGGCCGAGTCCTCCCGCCGTGCGGTGCCCGCCCTCCCGTGGCGTAGCAAACCCCTCCCTGCGCGCGCCGCCCGCCGCTGGGCGGGCAGGAAGAACTTTGGGGAGGCAGGGATCGTCTCCCCGAAACTGAACGTAAACCTCAGGTCTGCGCCCTGCGCGCTGTCCGCAGGCCAGAGCCCGGCCGCCCTGTGACCTCTCTTCCTCTGCAAATCCAGGCCCCTGCTGAGCTGGCCAGCTAAGCCGGGAAAGGATCCAGCTTTCCGTGACCCTCGGTTTTCCTTGCACCTTTCCTGTGCTTCTCTGTTAATTGTGACGTTGGAAATGGCCCTGTCGCCCGCACGCCCCATTGAGTACAGAACCCTGAGGGGAGCTGTGCTGGCCAGGAAGTGGGCCTTGCACTGGCAGTTTGTGGCACACTTGTCAGGAGTTCACCCTGCCCCAGGGGCTTTCTTCATCTTAAGATTCTTCTTTTAGCTCTTGGGATCCCCACAACCCCTCGCTGCGAGTTTCTGAACTTGCTGAGCCTTGGATTTCCTCTGTTAAATAGGCCTGCAAAAATTACTTCGTGTATGGAAAGTAATTAGTGTGATAGGGCCTATCCTGTAAGTTACTGTTGTTAATAATACCTGTAATCATTGATACTTATTGTTTATAAAATGCTTACAGTTATCCTACCAGAGTGTAGGGTTGAGAAGTATTTATGGAAATGATAAACTTGCCTAAGCTCTGTGGTTATAATGCAAGTGGTACTAAAATTTTATTTTCTTCAAATATTTTTGCTTTTTTCCCCTCTGTGCTACAGTTTTTCTCCCATTCTTTTCTCCCATTCAAAACTGACTGGATATTGTTAAAAATAAATAACTTTCCGAGCCTGGCATTGTGGCACCAGCCTGCAATCCCAGCCCTTGGGAGGTATTGGTAGAAGAATCACAAGTTGAAGGCCATCCTGGGTTATAGAAAGAGAGAGAGAGCCCTCCAGGCACTGGATTTGGGTGGGAAGGCTGAGGCCTCAATCCTGGTTTTGCCATTAACTCCTGTGTGATGTTGGGCAGGTGACCACATTTCTTTCTTAGAGGACAGTTTCTTTAGTCTTAAAAAGCAGCATTGACCTTGCAGTGATTCTCCAGGTCCTTCCTAGCACTGGTATTCCTTGAAGGCATTAGAAAAATAATAAAGGTTCTGAAAGTCTTTATTGGGACAAGGCTTGCATTGAGAGGGTTTCTGAGGCTGCAAAAGTACTTGAGACTCATTATTTTTCTGTAATTAGAATGCCATAAGTAACTTTTTTCATTCACTTGGGTAAATAGGGCATAAAAGAAGAAAAAAAGGTTTTTACTGAGGTTAGTGGGCAAGGATTGGAAGAAAGGGAAGTGTGGTTTCCTGGAGGATCCAAATGGGATGAGATCCTAATTGAAAGATACTTTGGGTTAAGCAATTCCAGAAATAACCACCAGGTGGCATGGTTGGCTCAGAACTGTTTCTACTTGGTGGAAGGGGTAGGACAAAATGGTAGGAAGCCACTCGAGAGTGAGTAAAATAAAGAGAAGGCAGTGAACAAATTGCTTATTGTAAAGATAAGTGAATAAGAGAACAAGTTGTTCTCATTGTGACCATCAGAGACCACTCACTTTCTGTCTATAGGAAGTATGCCCTTTCCTGATAAACGTTACTATCACTTAAATTACAAAAACAAAACAAAATAAAAAAGATGGTCAAAATAACTATAGAAGAAGAGGTTGAAGGTTCCCAACACATAAAATGGTAGTATTTGAGGAGATGGGAGCGCTGACTACCCTTATTTGACCATTAACACATTATATAGACATACCGATTACAATTCTGTACCCTGTAAATACAAATTTTATATGTTAGTTGGGAAAAAAGATGGTCATGAATTGGGTATTTGCAGTACTAGATATCTTTAAGTGGTATGAAGTTGTAATTCTGGTTCCTTTAAAAGAAAAACATGAATAGCACTACTGATCTGACAATTATTCATCATTATTGAAGTAGAAATGTTGACCACGTTCCCAAATATATTCCAAGTCTCTAAAATAACCAATATTATAGGGGGACAGAGAACATTTTTGAGTTTCATGTCAATGGTTTCTATTACTGCCATTAGAAAGAATAAGAATGATTGGTTGATATAATACTTTTTTTTCTGGTGGCACTGAAGTTTGAATTCAGGACTCACAATTTCTAGGCATGTACTCTATCACTTGAGCTACTCCATTAGTTTGTGTGTGTGTGTGTGTGTGTGTGTGTGTGTGGGGTTTTTGAGATAGGGTCTTGAACTATTTGCTCAGGCTGGCCTTAAACTGTGATCCTCCTGATCTCTGCCTCCTAAGTAGCTAGGATTACAGGCATGAGCCATGGGCACCGGCTGATGTAATACTTCTTAAAAAAAATTGTTGTTGAACTTTGTGGTAACACTATTGAGGTGAGGTAGATGATGCAGGGGAAAGAGCATCCTGGGTCATCAAGTCTCTTGGTGCCAGACCTGGCCCTATTAGTAACTTGCTGGATGGACTTTTGTCACTTTTACCTCATTTTATTAAGCCATGGAGTGAGGAGCTTGAACCAGATGACCAGTATCTGAATTCTTAGTTGAACATAAGCATCTCATGGGATATTATTAGGTTTTCTTTTAAAGCAAAGGGTTTCGTGATTTAGCAAACTAGAATACTTCTCATTTTATTGCCATCTTAAAGAGTAATATGTACATATTAAAGTTCTGAACAATCTGATGTAATTTGTCCCAAACTTTTAAACCACAGAGTACTTATTTCTCAGAACACTGTAAACATCTTAGTAACAACAGAGTTTCATGGAAGTCAGTTTGGGAAGCACTGCATGGGATGATTTCTGCAACTTCTAGAAGCAGCTGTGTAGTGATAGTAGTTCTGGACCAACAGTGAATACACTTAGGTTATGGTTCTGGCTTCACTATTTTGGACAAGTTACATGACAGAGCTAATAAACAGATGGCTTCTCTTAGCTTAGATGCCATCCTTAGCTCAGTTTCTCTTTCTGTATGATAGGCTACCATTAATAATTCTAGAGAATTGCTGTGGTCAGTTAAGCAAGACCATGTGTAAAGATGATCGTTGTCTCGCGCTTGGTAGATATTAAGTGTATGGTTTTTCTTGTCCTCTTTTGATTTTAAGTCATTAGGCACTCTTTTTGTTTTTTTTTTTTTGTTTTAATTTATGAATGTATTTGGTGACAATGTATTATGTGCTCTTTTAAGTGGTGTTTACAGAACATGTATTCCTGTGAAATCATAAGTTCTACAGCTTTATTAATTTCTGTATATTCAAATCTTCAAATCATTAAGCTGTTAAAATACCTTAGAAAAGAGAGTGGACTTTAGTGTAGATATTTTTCTCATTAACCTGAAGTAATCTTCAAAGAGAGAATGGGGAAGGAGGGATTGTGGAAGAAGGTGGTAACTTCACCATTGGAATTTTTAATTTGAGGCAGCTGTTAAACATCCCAGTGGAGAGGGCCAGCAGGCTGTTGGAGTATGGGGTATAGAGAGAAAGATTTGAAGGCCCATTTGTTTTAGGCAATAGGTTGAACTATGAGATCACTCAGGTCTGTGCTGAAATGCTGCCCTGTCCATTCAATACCAAATATCATTCCTTCCATGATTCACTCTGCCTGCCCCAATTTGTTTTCCTTTTAAGCTCACCATCATACCTGCTGTAGTATACACATATTTACTGCTTTTGTTCTCCACTAGAATATAAGTTAAATAAGAGAAGGGAATTGGAATTTGTATTCTTTGCACATAGAATAGTATTTGGTATGGTGTATGTGTTCAGTAAATATTTACCAAATGAATTAATGTAAAGAAAACTTGTAAGTAAAAAGAAAAAAAAGTGAAAAGAAGAGAACTTGAATTTTTAAAAGTCAATGGTGTTCTCTAAGCCCTGAAAAGCTATTGTACCAATGAAAAAGGAAGAGAGGATGATATGAGTAAATAGCCTCACGAGTTCTTGGAAATTAAAATTTTTTTTAAACTCTAGAAGATATTGTGGGCTGAATTTCATTCTGTTGTTTTAAGTCACAAAATTTGTGGTAAGTTTTTACAGCAGCCCTGAGCAACTAATACAGATGAGCTAGAAGAGAAGGTAAAAGCAGTCTGCAGAAAGTAGAGCAAAATATCAGAAACAACAGGAGGTAAAAGGAAGAGACATGGGGAGTCCAGGATGTCCAGTGTATGACTAATATGAGTTTCAAAAGGAAAGAATGGCTGAATTAGAGAGGAAATGATGAAAGGGATAATGGGGAGATCTAAGAGTTGAAGGACCAAGAGTTGACTCCCACTCACTTTATTTTGCAATCTCAGAAAACAGGCCCTGAAGAAGATCCAAAAAGGGAGTAGGAAGAGAACAGACCACCTGCAGAGGGATGAGAATCAAACCAGTATCTGACTCACTGGCTCTGCTGCTGAATGCTTGAACACTGTGGAGTAATGTCTTCAGGATTTTGAGAGGAAATCATTTTTTTTCCTAGAAGTTTTCACCCTGGCAGCCAGGGATCAATCTGGGATGAAAACTGAATAAAAACACTCAGTAACTTAATGCCCTGAGCTAGATGCTTGTAGAAGCAGAGATTGAAGTTTGAGGCCAACCCAAGCAAAAAGTTAGCAAGACCCCATCTCAACACCATCAACAGGGCATTATGGCACACTCCTGTCATCCCATCCCAACTAGGTGGGATGCATATGTAGGAGGATCATTGAGGTCATGCAAGACCCTTCCTGAAAAAAACTAAAGCAAAAAAGTGCTAGAAGTATGGCTCAAGTGGTAAAATGCCTGCTGAGCAATCCTGAGGCCCTAGGTACAAACCGAGTACTATAAAAAAAAAAAAGTCTGGAAAGCAACTGAGGCCAATAGAAGAAGGGGACAAGGAACTAGAGAAAAGATTAGATCAAGAAGAATTACCTTAGAAGGTAACACACATGCACAGGAAATCAATGTGAGTCAACTCCCTATATAGCTATCCTTATCTCAACTAACAAAAACCCTTGTTCCTTCCTATTATTGCTTATACTCTCTCTACAACAAAATTAGAGATAAGGGCAAAATAGTTTCTGCCGGGTATTGAGGGGGTGGGAGGGAGAGGGAGGGAGCGGAGTGGGGGGTAAGGGAAGGGGTTGGGGGAGGGGAGAGAAATGACCCAAACATTGTATGCACATATAAATAAAAAAAAATATTAAAAAAAAAAGAATGACTTGAGAAATTTACCTTATACATAATTGTTCTTATAGAATGAATGTTAAGGATGTGCTCTTAAAAAACAAATAAGTAAACCAAGAGATACTTCATTACTTCATTGGGATCCAGAAAACAGAAGGTCCTGGCTAGAGAGGCATTGGGATAACAAGGAACCACTCCATCCAGATTGTACCAGAGAATAGAGGGTGCCAGATAAGGTATTTGGATAAAAATGGTATTTCAGTATTGATGGTTGGTGAAGTGTTGGAATAATTCATAGATATGATTGTGACAAATAGTGCAAGAAAGGTAATTAGAGGCACAAAGAAAAATAGAAGCTGAACAAGAAATGAAATTTAATTTTAACACCTTGTTGCTAAGATCAGCACATAGACGATTCTCAACTTTGAGTGTAAGAATTACTTGGGGTCCTTGCTCAGCCTGTGAATATCCCTGATATTCTGATTCTTGAAGAGTGGGAGAGGGGTTGGGGAATCTGCATTTTAACAAGCACTCTAGAGAAATTTTGAAAATATACTATTTGTATATTTTAAAAAGCATAGAAAATATGGTTGCAGAACATTTTGTCAGCCTTGAAATGAGAAAATAATAGTACAGAAGACAAAAATTGGAAGGGAAAAGAATGAGGAAAGAGAAGTAGAAGGCAGAATGGTGGAATCAAGAAACACTATATATGTTTGGTGGAACACGGAATTAAAGCATATAGTTTTAAAATTAGCCAATCGAATTTAATGGGACTAGCTTGGGGCCAAATGAACTAAATTCTTTTCTCTCAGAATTAGACTTAGTATGTCATTTCTAAAGTAGAGATGTGAAAACTATGTTAGACAGATGATGATCACCACTAGACACTAAAACGGGTTCAAGAGGTGAAAGAGGGGTTGCTCTTAGGAGTGGAACTGCTTTGGATAGATGTAGGGACTACTATTTTTTTGATCATGCATGTGCCTTGCGTTGACTTAGCAACAACAAAATAGTTATTTTAAAAACTAAGTTGACAACAGTAACTTGTTTTCAACTGTAAAGAAGCAACCAGTTTGAGCTTCAGACAATAAAAGTTGTATCATTAATTTATTCTGTGGCTCTGAGAAAGGGCAGCATCTGATGTGTGCTTCAGGGATTTTGTTGTTGACTCTTTTTTTTTGAGATAAGATTTCACTATGTAGCCCAGGCTGGCCTGGAACTCAGTCAGGATCCTCCTGCCAGAGCTTCCCAAGTGCTGGGATTACAGGCATGTACCACCACGTTTGTGCCACAGTGCTTGCTTCATGTACCATCTTTCTCTGTGGCTTGTGTGTATAATATACTTTACCCCTTTCATCTTACAGAGGATCAGATAGCCACTTTTAGAAAATCATAATACTGTGTAAGGGGCGCATAGTTGCACATTAATAGCACTGACCTGGAATAATTTTAAGAGGTCCTCATCCTTTCTTTGTACTCTCAGGAAATGACTAGCTCTGAGTGTGCTGAGAGGACTGCTTTGTGTTTAAACTTACCAAGTGGTGGTGTGAAGACTGATGGAGTGCATGCCTTGTCTCAGCTATGACCATAACTCACTTGCAGGCTCTTTGGTATCCCAGAATCTAGTCCATTGCCTGTACATACGAAACACTAAGTGTACAATGCTTGATGGAAGAAACCATTGAGAAAATGAGGTTTCAGAGAAATGGAATGATTTTACCGAGCTCAGTACCTACAAGTCAGGCTCTTGGGTTCTGTATTCATTGCTTCTGTGCAAATTTATAGGTATATTGCCCATTAAAGCATTCTCATAATCTGAGACCTGAGGCTATGTTTTTTTCCAGAAATAATTCTTTTTTTATTCATTATTATTTAATGATGCATACTATTTTGTGATCCAAAGAGCTCCTAGTATATATGGTAATTTAAGTAAACACTGATCACTCATTTATAGTGATCATGCAAAAAAAATAGTAATTTCCTTTTGTTCTTGTGTTGCTCCTAGATGACTTTGAAAATCAAGTAGATGGCTTGAAATCTGTTGTAGAATGTACAGGGAATTTTTTTTTAAAGGTGCATCCTTTTAACTGCTGAGAAAGCCTTATTATAGCAAGAGTTTTATGTGCTTTGTACTTGGTGTGCTTTTCTCAGCTTTATCCTTACCTGTGTACACATCCCAGGAGTTACCTTGTTGCCAAGGTGGGGAAAGAAAATCAACAGTTTGGAAGGGAAAAAATGAAACAGTATGGAGACATTTATTCAATAACTGTGCTGATCAGTTATTGAATGCCAACCTAGTGCAGGCTACACAAAGACTCCTTCCTTCAGAACTTAATTCTAGTGATAAGTGCTAAATACACATAGCATAAGATGGTAAAATAAAATTTTGATGAAAATCAGGACATTTTTTCTTAATGGTGGTACTAGACTTTAAACTCAGGACCTCATAGTTGCTAGGCAGGTGCTCTACCACTTCAGCCACTCCATCAGTCCTGTTTTAGTTGGGTGTTTTTGAGATAGGGTCTCATAAACTGTTTGCTCTGGTTGGCTTTGAACTGTGATCCTCCTGATCTCTGCCTCCTGAGTAGCTAGGATTACAGAGGTGAGCCACTGTCCATGGCTGATATAATTTTAGTTTGGAAAAGTTGCAAAGATAGTACAGAATTCCAGTATGCCCTTTCCCCCAGTTTCCTGTACTGTTAACATCTTTCATTACCATTGTACATCTGTCAACACTGAGAAACCAACATTGGTACATGCTCTTAACCGAACTCTAGGAAACTTACATTTTACTTGTTTTTCCACTAATGTCATTTTTCCATTCCAGGATTCAGTTCAGGATCTCACATTGATTTCATAAATTTTCCTTAATCTCCTCCAGCTGTTACAGTTTCTTGGTGTTTGTTTCTTTTTCTCTATTTCTTTGTTTGCTATTTATTTATTTGATAAGTTTTTTGTATTATTGTGGATTTTTTTTTTTTTTTGTGGTACTGGGGTTTGAACTCAGGACTTTCTGCTTGATCCACACCTGCTGCTGTGTGGATCCTTACATATTTATTTATACCTTGGGTTTTAAGTCAGTGTTTCATTACTCATTTTGTTGCTCAAATTGTTCTCTTTGGCTTTTGAAAGCTCTTTCAAGGGTGGCTCATAATATTCCTCCAAACTTTTGGTTTTTGAGTACTTGGTTGATTTTTTAACCCCCTGAGACAAGGTTTTGCTGTTTCCTAGGCTGGCCTCGACCTTCTGGGCTCAAGTAGTCTTCCTGTTTCAGCCTCCTCAGTAGCCGTGCCAGTGCACCTGCCTCTTAAGATTTTGTCTTCCTTCCTTCCTCTCTTTTTCCCCTCTCCTCCCCTTCCCTCCCCTCCCCTCTCATGCTGGAGACCAAACCCAAATCTCTCACATGCTAGGCAAGCATGTGTTCTACCACTGAGCTACATCTCTAGCCCTGGTTGATTTCTAGCCCCTATAAGATGCTCAGTGTCATCTCATGTATTTGCCCATTGTAACAATCAGCCTTTTCTCCAAGCATTAATTCCTTTCATTAGAGAATGGTATTTAGAAACCAAAAATCTCTGTGTTGGGTGTACTCACTGCTATTGGGATGTCAGCCAGCCCTTTTATTATTGTTATTATTTTCTTAAAGTATTTTTACAGTTGAAAATTACACTGAAGAGATAGCAGGGTAGAAATAAAACATATGCTGATTTAGAATATTGCAAAGTGAAAATTTTATATGCTGTATTAAGCCAAGGTTTTGGAAACAGATGTGTTCCAGTAAAATGTGTATTGAATAATTGCATTTATTTAAATAACATACTTTTAAATGTATTTTAAATGTACATTTGAGTATACAGCTTTTAAGATAGTTTCTGTTATTGAAGTTTGCTTTTGTTTTAAGTTTACCTTAATATTGGCATCCTTACCAATGTGAGTAGAAACAAATGATTTATTTCTTTCAATAAAATAGGGTCTTGGGACCTTTCTTCCTATGGATCATAGGTAGAATTTGGAGGTTCTGTTGTTAGGTTTCTCCTAAGAAATTGACATCAGTGTTAGTCTAACTTTTAGTAAGTTTTCAGTATAAGATTTTTTTCATATTCTGAGTTTTAGTCTATTTTAGACTTTTTCTTCTTTGGATGTTTTAAGACACTGGGATAAGTAAATGGTTTTAGCAAACTTATTGTGATTTAGTTGGTATATACTTCTCTTTGGTGGTCAAATAGGAACAAGTTTTAAAATTTGAATTAAACCTTAAATAGAGAGTTAAAGTTAGCTTTGAAGAAAATGGGTAAGATTAAAAGTGGATAAGGATTTTTTGCTATAAAGAACAGTGCTTTAATTCTGTTTTTTTTGTTTTGTTTTGTTTTTTCCTTTGCAGAGAATGTAGCTGGTCACTACATGTCCCCCTTTCATGATATTCCTCTGATGGTGGACTCTAAAGAGGTATTATTTTAATTTGTTTTGAGTATGAAGATAGGTAGTTCTTTTATTGCCATAAAATGCTTTTTGGAAGGACCTGGAAGGAAAGAATGGAAGTCAGGAAGAAAAACTAAGGAATTGTAATAGTTGTTAACCTCCTTCATGAATCAAAGTTTATGTGAGGATAGGATTCTTCTGGGAGGACTTGGAAGAAAGGAGGGTCAATTATCTGTAAAGCTTTGAATTTGGCAGGAGATGAAGATTAAACAGCAGTAACTTAAGAAAATAAGAGGCTTATTTTTAAAAATAATAACAGTGTAGTTAAATTTGTGGATTATTTCTATTTGCTAGCTGCTGTGTGAACATGTTATTTAATTCTTATGACTTGCTATTATTATCTTAAAGGACAGTGAAGTTGAAGGTGTTTTATTGACTTGTAAAATATCACACAGGTGGTAAATATCAGAGCTAAGTTTTGAATTGTCATTTTTGACCACAGATGTCATGTTCCTTAACCATTCCATACGACAAGTGCTAGAAAAATAAGACTAGGGAAAAAAGATTATATTTGGGTAAGTATTGTCTTAGAACCTAAAGTCACTTGACCACTATGAGGATATGAAGGATGTCATTCAAATGGGTATAGCTTTTGAGAGGGTCTCAAAAGCACCAAGGCATTTTGAGTTCTTTCCTGATGAGTTGGTAAGATGATGTTGGTCATAGCAGATATTAGTGATCATCATTAAGCTGAAAGTCATTGCCTTAATATCCAAGTCTTGAATCACCAGATTCATAAAGCGAGCAGAGCTGCTGAGGAAGCAGCACTGTTCCAGGTTGAGATTACATGGGACTGAATGATTGGGTTGGTTTTTTCCAGGAGTGTAGAGAGATCACTGTAGGGGCAAAGGCTGCTGACATAGTAAGAAGGCGACTTCACATGCAAGGGTGGTTTGACCTTTTTGGTTTTACCTCACATGTCATAGTGAGGTTATGGAATATTGTGCAGAATACCAAATTGTCAGTGGTGGTAACAAAGAAGAAGAATAGTTGTTTATTAGCCAGGCACTGTGCTCAGTGCTTGACACACATCATCTCAATCCTTCTGGAACTACTATTATTACTTTATTTTGTTAATAAGCTCAAGTACTTTGTCCATGGTCACAAATCTAGACTGCTGTGGAGCGGGGTTGAATTCAGGTGCTTTAACTCCAGAGCTGTTCGTGTTCTTCACTTCTTTGTGCACTGCCTTAGCTCGTTACTTTGAGTGTTTAGCTGCAGGATAAGGGATGATATAGTTTGGAAAGAGAAAGAAACCAAGAGGGCAGAAATAATTCTGTTATTGTATATGTCTCTTTGAGTGTGAGAAAGAGTATGTTTTGTTTTGGCCTGTGAATTATCAAACCTAAAAATGTCATGTGTTCCAGTATCTCTCCTTGCTTTTAACCAAAGTGTGAGTGCATTTACTTTCTCATTTGATAAGTAATCATTGCAAGCCTCTTATGAGTCAGACACTATCTTAGGCACTAGATATGAAATGATGAATAAAATAGATGTAGTCACACTCAGTCAGAGGTGACAACCATAAAACAAATCAGTCAGATACTGAAGTAGTGTAAAGGGATGAAGAGTGACTAGTGGATGGTATTGTCAGGGGTATACTACAACAAGGTTTGTGTACCTCATAACAAGAATATAGAAAGGCTGTATTTTTGAGAATTATGTAGGAAGAAAAGGAAGTGGAATAAAGGATGTGATAGAAACATCTCATCTGAGAGGGTATAGCATTCTAAGGAGGATGGGTTTGAGGGAATGTGAGTTTTGGGATTAGGCATAATAGAGGGCAGGACAAATTATAACAACAAGATGTGCTGGTGAGTTCTAAGGATGAGCTACTGGTACATTTCCTTGGTGGTCAGCCAGTAATGATTAAAATGTTTATACCTTGAGCTTTGGGATATTGAGTTTTAGGAACAGAAATAATGTTTCAGGGCCAACTTGGAATAATTATTTTTCTGTTTGTTTTGTTTTCTTCATTAGTAGTCGTTTGGGTGTGTAAGCGTTTTATATACTGGGTGAGCATTTATGAATGGCACAATTTTTCTTCCCAACCAACCATGTAGTCTGGTTTAATTTGAAAATGTTGCGTGGAGGCTTAATAATCACACCTTGGTAGAGTTCACAGGCGGGAAGTGCAGCTGAGTACTTTCATGGCTTGTTAGTCATGCTCCCTGGAGTTTCATTTCAATAATGAATTGACTGTCTTAAGCGTAATCATTGGCAACTGCCAGTCTTTCCTTAAAGACTGAGCAGAGCCTTTGCTTATTTTATAAAAACTTAGAAAATATTCTTGAAAGGGATTTAGCTTTTCTGATAATTTATTTGATAAAATCCATTCAGTGCTGTTTTCTGGGATGTTAATACTGAGGGAAAAACTAGGTGTTTCTGGTAGGTTCTCTGTTTAGTCAGAATTCAGCATAGCTTCTGTAATTGAATGTGTATACAGTAGGTATATTTTATTGTTATGCAGTGCATCTATATTTTGTGCAATGTTACAGTAATAAGTACTGTCTTTTCTTTTATAGGCAAATGGCATTCCCACAAAGAAGGCACGAAGTGATGAATATGAGGTATATCTAAAAGGTTTTACTTTGTGAATCACTTTTATACTATCTGTTAAAGACCTTGATAGTAGTATGCATTTGTAAAATGCTTCTGAATGTTTTCCCCTGCAAGAATTCCATGTGTATTCTGAAGTTTTTCTCTTTAAGGCATTTAATCTTTTCTTTAAAATTGTGGTAAGATTTTATAAGTTAAAATTTGCCATTTTAAATTTCTAAAGTGTACAGTTCAGTGGTATTAAGTACTTTCACACTGTTGTGCAGTAGTCACCACCATTGATCTCCAGAGCTTTCTGTCATTTCTAGCCGAAACTCTACACCCATTAACTAGCAGTCCTCCTCCTCTCCCTCCCCTGGTAACTGTTTTGCTTTTTGAGTATGAACTTGACTGTTTTAGTTACTTCTTTACCATTTCATTTTTCAAGTGAAAAATCAAAACATGAAACCATATTTTAGTAGCAAATTATTTATCATGGCAAAGAATCTAAAGTAAATGTGCTTTATTAAAATTAGTCAGTGTACCTTTTTAAATGTTTTAAATTATAGCAGAGATGATAAGAACTACAGTCTTTCAAGAGTAGAGGAAAAGAAAAATAGTTATACCAACTAGAATACATTTCAAATATATCTCTTAACTATTTGACTATCAAACCTTTGTAGTTACTGACTTAGGACCAGAGCATTTGATTGACATCTTTCTGCATTTCTTGCTCTGGGTGTTCTTTTCTCTTGATGCTGGACAGCTCTCCCTTTCACCTTTTCCCTCCCCAGTCTATTCCATCTCTTCTCTGAAACATTTGTCCACAGCCTCCTTACCCACTTCCACACATAGATAAGCGGACTGTTTAATCCCTACAACCTTTGCCTGTCATCCTTCTTTTTGCTTTCCCAAAGTGGTGTTAGTCAGATAGTCCTTGGACCATCTCCACTAGAACCACTTACAGTGGTTGTTAAAAGTTCAGATTCCAGGCCTCATCCCACATCTGCTAAATCAGAATCTCTGCTTGATGGTCCTGGCTCATCTACATGCTTACCAATATTCCAGGCACTTCCTCCACAGGAAATTTGACAACCATTGCCCTAGACGTCGGGGAAACAGGCACGCAGGGACTCAGGCTTTACAGTTCCTAGGGACATTATTTATTAACCTGAAAAGCTATTTCAATGGGAAAAGTATATTCTGAGTCTAGACCATCAAAGTAAAATTTAATTCTTATAATACAATTTACATGTTGGAGATTATCTGGTTTGTGTGTTTTTGAAAGCTTAAAAATTAGGAAAGAAGGATGATTTTGTGTTTTTTTCCCCTATGTATATAAAGCATAATGACTGCTTTTTCACATATGTTCTTAGCTTTTCTCTTTTATTTCTTTTTATTTTCTTATTTGTTCTCAAGGGAAAAAATGGAGAGAAAGAAAAAAACTAAAAGGAGGAGTTAAATGTCCCTGCCATATAGATGACTTTCTGGTTTAATTTTGCCCCCTTTTATCTTTTTGATTTTCTAATAAATTCTGGCAGGTCATTGTTGGTTTATAATTAATACTAATCTTAAGAAAATGAGACTAACATTGGCTTTAAAATTAGAGGCTAAATGCATTGTAGTTGGAGAAAAGAAAGGCAGGCTAAAAGTAGGCTTTTAGTGGTTAGGAGCAAATGATGAGTGTGGCTTGCAGTCTTAAAATTCAGACCTATTCTTCATCTCTTGTTCCTTTGGTCTAATTCAAGTCTGTGTGAGTGGCTTTGGGTAGGTGTCATTGTGTACCATGATTGTCACTAGTATGGTCGTCTCTGTCATCTACGAGTATTCATCCACATGCATTTGTTCTCTTATAGCCAGGCTTTCAGGGATGAATAAATTATGTGAACATCTGCCATTTACTTCAGTTTTTCTTTTTAACAGCTTCTTGAGACATATTTAAACAGGTGTAGGGTACCTCATGAAAGAGCATAGAAAATGAAACATAACAGCAGGGCTGTGTACGAGGGTTGTTAAGATAGGTATGAGATGGGCTTCTAAGGAGCGATTGTTGGGAATTCATTCTCGGCTTTGTTTACCTCATTATGGGTTTGCGGTTTTGCCATTTGAAACAGTCTTATCTAGAAAAACTTAATAAAAAATCATCATTTCTTTTGTGGCTCACTATCGGTTTACACTTAATCGTGCAAATGGCGTTCTTTGAATTAGCAGCATTTGTATTTCACTGAGACACTCACAGGATGTTGTCAGCAATGCTTTAAGCCAACCTTGACTGCATGTTAAAATGGCTTGGACAGTTTTTAAAAAGAGGCAGTGTCCTGGCTCCGCCCCAGACTGAATTCAAATAGGTGGGTTGTAGAGCTTGCTGAAACTCTTTTTCTTTTTTTGTAATTAGTTAAAGCTCACCAAGTAATTTTGATTTGTGTACAATTGAGAATAAGTTTGTTAAATTATTGCTTCTCAGATCTGTGGTTTTTCTTATTTATTTCTATCTGTTGTGAACTGATACTTTAAAAATACAACCAAAATGAATGAAGAAAAGTATAATTCAAGTAGATTCAACACATATAAAAATTACTGTTACCTTGCCACAAGTGCTTCTAAATGAACCAGTAGGACCAGTTTGCAGACTGGCCCGGGCTCAAGGCACACTTGGGGTAGCACCGTTTTAAAGTTTTAAGCCATTGCCTCACGTTCAGGGTTCCTTACTGATGTCAGTGTGGTACAAATCATCTTTAACCTGCACATTTCTCTTTGTAAGGCAAACTCTGGGAATTGTTCATACTCATCATTGACCCAGAGTCTACAGAAGAAAAAGAAGCCCTGGCCTTTTTGTATCTCTAGGGAGTGTGAACTCACTAGCTGTGGTTGAGAAGGGATGCCTAAATCCTTGTGAACTGTATTCTGATTGCCTTGATTTTACTTTATGATTGTAACTTGTATGTAAATATTGCCTTGATTTTACTTTATGATTGTAACTTGTATGTAAATACTCTATTACAACTTTCAAAATATTTGACTTCCTGTTATTCTATGTATTTTCCTTTAAGTTATATAATTGATCTTCTTAACAACCTTGTGGTGTGTGGGATAGAGATGCTCACCCTTACTTCCCAGAATGGAAAAGTAAGACCAAAGGCTTATATGAGGGACCTGGTCTTTGACTCCTATTTTAGCTAAAATATGAAAGTCAAAACATTTTTCCTGGGCTGTGGAGTGACTCAAGTGGTAGAGCACCTGCCTAGCAAGTGTGAGGCCCTGAGTTTAAACCCCAATACTGCCAAAAAATTTAAAAAATAAAATAAAATAAACATTTTTCCTGACTCCATTCTAGTTCTGTCACTACCCTGCAAAAGTACTTCAGATGTAATGACCTCAGATACTGTGTAGCAGTGCTCAAATGACATGATGGCTTAAATTCTGCTGTTTTAGACAACATCTCTAATTTTTAAAAGAAATGTAAGGCATAGGGAGATGTATAATACAGACAACTAAACATTTTTTGTGGGATTAAAAACCTTCAGGATTCTTTTAAAGAGTGTAATAATTATAAAATTAGCCTAAGAGTTTCCAATTCAAAGTGTAGAAATAAGAGCTAGTAAAAATTTTAAATGTTCTCTCTCTCTCTCTCTTTCACAGAATTTGTTTCATATGGTTGTAGAAATTCCTCGGTGGACAAACGCTAAAATGGAGGTATGGATGTGCTCTATTAATGTAAAATTGAAAAGAAAACTTAATAATAATATGAAAGGCATTGCTTCTAGCTATTTGGCATGATGTTTTAAATTGGGAATGGTTGATAGGCTTCTTTATAATGAAACAATTAAATATTTTTGTGAACTTGGACTTTAATTTCAAAAAGAAAAATATTCGTACAGAATATACACTTAAAAGAGTGTTTTTCAAATTTTGCCTATCCAGTTTATGGTACACATATTTGTTTAATTTTTGTTGCCTACCCTTTCTTTGACAAGATGTCAAATATTTTCAAGATTTGTTTAAATAGATTCTGAGATGTATTTAGTTGATAGATACAAGTGAACCATTTGTTTGAGGCTGGTGGCAATTTTAATTTCTGAGCATTTAATTCTTCTTTAAATTTTATTCTGCCTGAAATGAAAGCATTTTCCTGACTAAAAGAATTTATGAACACTGTCTAAGAGCACCGGCAGTTGCCCTAGTTAGCTTTTCTAGAAAATTATTTCAATTTTAATCTCTTCCATGAACCTATCAAGAATATCTCATGTGCTTTTTGGTGTTTTGTTTTTTCTTCAGTTAGAGAAGATCCTTTACAGCTCTAGGTAAAATTTAACTTCTTGTACTTTGTTAGTTAAGCTTTCTGTAACTTGAGATGTAATGGCAAGTATGATTAAGTATATAAATTAGACATTGTTAGGTGGGTGTGTAATTTTCAGAGTTCATTTGGGAAATTATTGATAATTTCACCAAGTCCTGGTAAAATGTTAACATTTTAATAGGAAAAAATAGATACTACATTCTTCTTTTGGTCTTGTTTTAGGCATGACACTTCATCATTCTTATCTCTTCACCTCAGTATCAGATCCTGCTTATGTTAAGCAGTGGTTCTTCATTCAAACATGGCCTCAGTGATTTTTGCATGTGTGTGTGTGTGTGTGTGTGTGTGTGTGTGTGTTTATTTTATAGCATTTTTTCCCTTTTTTGAATGGAAAATGTGAATATGTTTGATAGAAAAGTAACTTAAAGTGAAATCACTTGGCAAGAATCTGGGGGGAGTTGGTGATTTTTAAAAATTATATTGTAATTAACTACATATTATATATGTAGAAAACAAACTGATATTTGATTTATGACCAGAACAAAAATTAAATCAGGCTCATCAACATGTGTATCATTTCAAATACTTAATACTTAGTGTGGTGAGGACATTTGCAATTTATTTATTTATTTTGACATTTGCAATTTAGAGTGTATAATAAACCATTAACTGTATTCACTGTAGGTCTCAAAACCAAAAGAAAGTCATATTCTTCCTGTCTGAGGTTTTGTACCTTTAACCATCATCTCTGGCCACTACAACCACCATTCTAGTCTCTGCTTCTTTTTTTTAGTTAAACTAAATTTGTTTTTAACTAATACATATTCATATTAATGACTGCCATACAATGTTTCAGGTATACATTGTGTAATGTGTAAGTCAGGTTAAACATAACTATCTCAACTCAAACACTGATCATTTCTTCACAGTGAAATCTTTGAAAATCCTTTCTTCTAGCTTTTTAAAACATATGGTGTAGTATTATTTTCTGTAGTCACTCTATTGTACAAATAGCACAGCAAAATTTCTTGCTTCTACCAACTACAACTTTTAGTACCCATCGATCAACCTTCCTCTCTCCCCCTACACTCCCCTGGTAACTACCATTCTACTCTAAAGCTCAATGAGAGCAAGTTTTGTAGATTCCACAGATGACTGAAGTCATATCATCTTGATACTTGTCTTATTTTACTTAACATAATGATCTCTAGTTCTGTTCCTGTTACAAATGACAGGATTTTATTCCTTAGTATGGCTGAAAAATGTATTGCATTTTCTTTATCCATTCATCAGGTAATGCCCACTTAGCTCGTTTTGTTCCGAATAGTGCTGCAGTGCGCATGAGCATGCACACATCTCTCCCGCGTACCGATTTCATTTTGTTTGTCTGTATATTCAGAAGTGGAATTGCTGGATTATATGGCAGTTCTATTTTTAGTTATTTTGGGAAACTATACTGGTTTCCATGATGGCTGCACTAATTTACATTTCCACCAAGAGTGTATAAGCTTTCCTTTTTTCTCCACATCCTCACTGGCACTTGTTATCTTCATTTGTTTTGATAGTAACCATTCTTACTGGAGTGAGGCTGATATAGTGATTTTGATATGAATTTCCTGATGATTAGTGATGTTGAGTACTTTTTCATAGATGGGTTGGCCATTTGTATATCTTCTTTTGAGAAATGTCTATTTAAGTCTGTTGCCCATTTTTAATCAGGTTATTTGTTGCTTTGCTATTTAGTTTTTGAGTTCCTTATTTAGTCTGTGTATCAACTCCTTGTCAGGTATGTAGCCTGCAAATATTTTCTCCCATTGCATATGTTGTTTCTTCACTGTAGGTTATTTCCTTTGCAGTACAGAGCTTTTTTAAAAAAAATATTAGCATATATTAGTTGTTCAGGGAGTTTCATTGTTACATTTCCATTTAATGCTTGCAATGCACCTTGGTTAGACTCTTGCCTCCATCATTCTCCTTCATCTCTTCCTTCCCACACTTCTTAAAACAATTTCAACAGGCTTCATTTTCATGCAGCTATATAAAGTGCATCAACAGTGTAATGTAATGTCATTTGTCTATTTTTGCTTTTGTTAACTGTTGTTTTGTGGTCAAAAAAAAAGAATCATTGCCCAGACCAATGTGTAGTTTTTTTTCTGTATTTTATTATAGTAGTGTTAACAGTTTCTAGTTACATTTAAGTCTTTAATCCATTTTGTGTTGATTTTTGTGTGTGAGGTTTAAGGATCCAATTTGATTCTTTATGTGGATATCCAGTTTTTCCCAATGCCATTTATTGAAGAGTTATCCCTTCCCACTGTGTATTATTGGCCCTTTTGTTGAAAATCAATTGACAATACACACCTGGGTTCATTTCTGCACTTTCATTGATCAATATGGCAGATGTTTTTTTTGCCAGCATCACCCTACTTTTTTACTGTAGCTTCATAGTGAAGTTTGAAATCAAGTAGTGTGATGCTTTGTTCTTTTGTTCATGATTACCTTGGCTATTCAGGATTTTTTGTGTGTGCTTTGTATGTGGCTCCATAGGACCTTAGAATTGTCTTTTCTATTTCTATGTTTAAAGATAACTTTGGACTTTTGATATGGAGTGCACTGAACATAGTTCATGCTACTTTGAGTAATGGATATTTTAACATTAATTCTTTCCAGTCCATGAACATGGGATATCTTTACATTTATTTAGGGTTTTCTGTATATATAATTGTATTATCAATAAAGGGTAACAGTTTCACTTCTTCCTTTCCTATTTGGATGTCCTTTATTTCTTTCTCTTGCCTAATTACTCTGACAAGGACTTCTAAAAATATGGGTAAAAGTGACAAGAGTGAGCATCCTTAATTTTTTTCAGATTTATACAAAAGATTTTTAGTCTTTCACTGTGATGAAAATCTTTGAGTAAACCTTATTATCATAAGATTGTTGGTAATAAAAGTTCCCAGATTAGTAACAAAAAGCTGCTTTGGTTAATCTTTATCCTCTTTCTAGTTCAACCATTTTATTTGTGTTAGAAATAGTGTAGAATATGAATAATATGTTGCCTAAATATATAACTGGATGTTTCCTTTCCAGACAATTTTTGTTACATGGTACTGTAAATCAACAATAAGAGCTGGCTTAATTTATTTTAAAGCACCTTTGATCATTAGGTTGGAATATGAATATTTCACCTGAATTTAGCAGTTCTTAAAAATGTGATTTGGATGTAGGATTAATCTTTTCACATCCCCTATCCCCTTCTCTGTGATCTGCTTAGATTGCCACCAAGGAGCCACTGAATCCCATTAAACAAGACTTAAAGCACGGCAAGCTGCGCTACACGGCGAACATCTTCCCTCACAAGGGTTATATATGGAATTATGGGGCTCTCCCTCAGGTAACATTTTTGCTATAATGGTAAAATTTTTCTGTCTCCTGAAAAAATTGCCTTGTAAATCCTGTGAACTGATTGAATTTAAATAGGTTCTGAGGACATGTCAGTTTGAGAGATTTGTAAATTTAAAAAGGTTTAATGTGTAGTTTTACTGTATCAATAAATTTTGTTTCAAACCATATATATGTCTGTCCTCAGGTTCTTGGGGTCAGGCATATAGAATGTTCACATTTGACATTCTGAGCACATTTCGTTTCCTGGGCTTAGCTATTAAATGTCAGTGAAAAATTCTTAGCAAGCCTTTATCTGTAGTCATTCCTTTAATTCTCCTATATAAATTTATATAAGATAAGATGGATTTGATTTTTAAACTCCAGATTAATTTTTTAAGTTAACTTTTTCAGAACTTGCAAATTAAGTTACTTGTATTTTTCACTGTTATAAGTTTATAATTTTTAAGTGGAAAGTATGAAAACAAGGAAAATGATAAGGCAGCATTCCAATGGAACAGTTTTACTACTTTGCTTTTAGCTTTTCTTCCTTTCTTGTCCCTTTTTGTTTTCTTCTCATATTTCCTCACTCTGGCAAAGCAGGAACTCTTCCAGATTATTTAGGAAAACTTGATACCCCAGATCCAACATCTAGGTTTGGGGGACATAGAATAGCATTTGTGTTTATGAATCCCTTTAGCTCATCTGTCTAGAGATTTAATTTTATATTTTTGTGTATTAATTTTAATATTAATTAATTCAAAGATGCTATTGGGGAAATATTTAGGGAAGGAGGGTCTGACTTTATCCAACCCAGAAAAACAGCGGCTCATTTAGAATAAGCATCCCCAGGAAAAGAAAGAAGAAACTTGCTCTCTAAAGAGTCAGGCTGCCTTTGCTGGAGTTAAGAGTTCCCACTGGTTAAAGCTGGCTCTTCTACAATGATGCGCTAAGAATGAAATGTCTGTTAAAATGTGAAGGTAAATGTCTGACTCCCCAGGAGCCTTAGTCGACATTCTGCGTGACCCAACAGGGACAGGTTAAAAAAGTTCTGTAGAGATTTTGGGAAGTGAGAAGCTAGGATGTGTGGATGAAGAGAAGGCCAAAGGAGCCATGAAGTTAGAGACAGAGAAACAGGTGCATACAAAGTCGACCCAAAAGGGACAGTCTTCTCAGGGGCTGGGGCTTAAGTTGTGGGGCGCCTGCCTCGCTCCAGAAATAAATAAAAGTAAATAAAGTTCATACGTCTGTTCATTCTTAAAACATCCGCTAAGGACTTAGGCAGTGTACTTGGCTGGGGTATGAAGACAGAGGAACTAGATGCATGATCAAAGCAGCATGGTAAGTGATCATGAATATGGGCTTGGGAGCCAGGTTGCCACTCACTAGTGATGTGACTTTGGGTGAGATACTTTGTCTTTCACTTTTTTCATCTGTGAAATGGAGAACATAAAATGCCTACTGCGTGTTACTGTGTTGAGGTGAAATGATTTTATTACATTTGAATAGTGTGTAATAGTAATGTTATCATCATCAGTACTGTTAATATAAGCTGGTCTTTTTTTTTTTTTTTTTCCCTTTTTTTGGCAGTTCTGGGGTTTGAACTCAGGACCTTGACTTGCTAGGCAGGTGCTCTACACTAGAGCAACACCTCCAGCTTTTTATTTTATTTTTTTTGCTTCAGTTATTTTTCAGGTATAGTCTCATGGCTTTGCCCAGGGCTGGCCTCCAACCTCCTTCCTCCTACCTATGCCATCCAGTGTAGCTGGGATTGTAGGTGTATGTCACCACTCTCTAGCTTATTGATTAAAGGTGGAGCTTGCTAATTTTTTTTTGCTCATGCTCGCCCTCAATCTCGATCCTCCCAATTCCCAACTTCCAGGTAGCTGGGATTGTGGTCTGAGCCACCACATAAGCTCATCTAGTTCTTTTACTGAAGTCATTTACAGTCTGATCCATGCAATCAACAAGTCTAATGCTCTTAATAATTCTACCATCTTATTATGTACAAAAATAAAGAAGACCTACTGGTGAGAAGGAAAGGAGTGAGGGATGAAGGTGAAAACAAAAGAAACTTCACTAGTTTTCTAATTAGAGTCCAGCTAAAGTTTTGCTCTTCTGGATGTGTTTGTATTTTCAGTGTGCTCTTATCTGCCATAATCTTAGTCTGTTACTTGCAGAAGTTCTTCTCTGATTCAACTGAATTGAACTGCAGCAGTGTCTTAATTCTACTTACTCTACATTTCCTATTATACCTAAATTTGTACTCCATCCAACATCTAAAATGATTTACAAATAAAAACCCAGTTATGCTTTTCTCATATAAGAACCATTCAGGGGTGGGCTTGGTGGTACATGCCTGTAATCCTAGCCTCTTAGGAGATAGAGATAGGAAAGGTGTGGTTCAAGGCCAGCCTGGGCAAAGTTAGCACAAGACCCTATCTGAAAAACAAGCTAAAAGTGAAAGGCCTAGTGCATGACTCAAGTGGTAGAGTACTTGTGAGGTCTTGCATTTAGTACCCACTGCAAAAAAAAATCAAACTCAAAAACAAAGCAAAACAAAACAAATAAATAACAACAACAAAATAACCATTCAGTGGTTTCCTGTTGCTAAAAGGATAAGATATAGAACTCTTAACATGACTTCTCAACCCTGCATGATCTAGCTTCTGCTTACATCTTCATCCTCATTTTCCAACATTTCTCCTTTCTTACTTCCATTCCACACATCTTCCGTGTTTCTAATTCCCAAGAACTGTGCCTTCATTCAATACATAGTTACCAAGTGCTTGATATTTGCCAGGCAGTGTCCTTGTTCTAAGTACTGGAGGAAAAGCAGTGATAAAAGTGACAGAAATTAATTGGGAATTTTTATTCTAGGCAGAGAGTCAGACAATAAATAAGTAAAATGTCAGATAGTGATAAGTGCATTGGAAAATAAAGCAGAGAGGCTAGTTGCGGTAGCTCACAGCTATGATCCTGGCTACTCAGGAGGCAGGGATTAGGAGGATTGAGGTTGAGGCCAACCCATGCAAAAAGTTAGTGAGACCCCATCTCAATTAAAAAGCTGGTTGTGGTGAATACCTGTGATCCCAGCTATGTGGAAGGCCACAGATAGGAGAATCATGGTCTGAGGCTGGCCATGGCCTTAATAAGATCCTATCTGAAAAATAACTAAAAAGCAAAAAGGGCTGGAGGAGTGGCTAAGTTGTAGAATAGCTGCCTACCAGGCATGAGGCCCTGAATTCAAGCTCCAGTGCCACCAATTAAAAATAAAAGTAGGCCAGTCTAACTAGAAGGGAAGTGAAGGAGAGTAAATATACCTTCGTTCTCTCTGCTATTTTTAACCAGAGATCTTTACTGTGTTTTTAAATCCAAACTTTTAAATCCTTACTTGTGTTTTTAAATCACACTTGTGTGTGATTGTGTGTGCACCATATATAAACTTATAGATATATTAATTATAAAATAAAAATAACTAAGTTATATTTTTTAAAGTTGAAATCATATAGAGTGCTTATGGGAAGAAGTAATTCTATGTCAGAGTGAGCTGTTTAAATGAAAGCCAATCCCTGGCCCTGTATGCCTTTTTAAAGATCCTCTCTCTGCCTTCCCTCCTACTCCCTTTCCTTTTCCTCCCCTTCAGGCTCCTGATGCTCCCAACACACTCCTGCCTCAGGGCTTCATACTACTGTGTCCTCTATGCACATAGCTTTCTCACTATGCACATAGCTTACCTCCTGAAATGTTTGTTTACAACTCACCTTCTTCATGACGTCTGCCAAACTGTCTTTAAAACTTTAAGTCTCCTGAACTCTTGTTCCTGTTTCCATGCTTTATTTTTCCCCTTTGCACAAACTGACCAAATTTTAACCTGATATATAATTTACTTATTTTGTTTGTTGGCAATTTCTTTTAGCTAGTATGAACACTTTGTGAGAGCAACGATTCTGTGTGTTTTACTGGTGACTGTATCCCAACTAGCCCGGCTTAGTATCTAGCACTGAGTTGATGATCCATAAATATTTTTGATATGAATGAATTAATGAATGCATTGCATGCTTGTTTCACAGGCATATGTGGATGTTAGATTTTGCTCTTCCTCTGTGGTTTGTCTTGTCACAGCAGGAAATTTGTTGAGAGCATTTACCAAGCCAACTGCTAGGAAAAACATTTAGGCAACATAATATTGTTTAAGTAGAAATATTTCCATTTAGCCTGTGACTCACCAGTATGCTTTTATTGTGCCATACCTTCAGATAGTTTTTGAATGGGGTCTCCCATTTATGTCTGGCCCACCTGGACCAAGAGCCTCCTGTTTATACTTTCTTCATAGCAGTGATGGCAGGCACATGCCACAGGCCCAGCTTTTATAGGTCAAGTTGGGAGTCTCACTAACTTTTTCGCCTGGGCTGGCCTTGAATCCTCCTACGTGGCTAGGATTACAAATGTGTATCACTATACCTGGCAGCTATCTAGATTCTTCACTTTAATAACTTTTCCTACATAACACCTCCCTCCAAGTTTGAGTTTTCCCTCAGTCTTCTTTGTCTTCTCTCAGTTGCCTTTTACTACCTACTTGTAACAGGTCATTCCAGTGTTCTCTGTAAATGAGTATTTAGAAAACTTGTCTGGGTCATATTAAAGACTAGACTTACTTTAAATTCAAGTTTTTTTCAGTCTTAATTAATATTAATATGTTTATTATTTTGAACGTTTTATGAATTTGATTCATTGACAGCAAACATTTACACAGTATCATTTATTAGGGTTAGAGCCTGAGACAAGAGACTAAATCTCTTTAGGCCTATTTGTTCATTTCTGTGATAATACCATCTACCCCACAGGGTTATTGTGAGAAATGTGAGGCAATCATAGCAGAGTGTTTAGCTCTGTGATGACACAGAGCTACTGCGAGGACTGTATAATAATAAAGGAACTGAGAGAGAGTCCTGTTCCAGTTGGAATCTGAGAAAGTGCAGGTAGTTGTTGAGTAACTTTACTTCCTTTAGCTTGGTGACAGGAATTACAGTTAGTTAGGAACGAATTTTTAAGAACCACCTGCATGTTCAGCTTTGTACAGTTCAGGGTTTTGCAGAGAACTGAGGACCAGAGCACAGTGATTGCAAGCATGTTGGTTAATATTTAGATTGTAAGGTAATGATCTCCAGCACCAGTACAAAGGTAAGATTTGTGTTAGGCTAGATCAATAATGTGAGTATTCTGATTTATTCATTTTCCTAGTTTTGCATAATACTATTTTCCTGTTGATAGGTGGTTTATGGTGCAGTTCTTCAGTCCATGCTAAAATTTTTATGTATACTTAGGTATGTACACCTAGGTATATACTTATAAGTCAGTTTTTGAATTTTATACCTATATACCTTACTTTACTAGGTATCCCCAAGTTGTTTACAAAAGAAAGTTGTAGAAATTTACATTCTCGCTAGCTTAGGGTTCCAAGCACCTTTCATTTTTGAAATAGTGTTACATTATAGCTTTAATTTGTATTTCTCTGTGTCTTTTCATGAATTTATAAGTTATTCATGTTTCTTTTTTCTTTTCCTTGTTTTCTTTTTCAGTGCTGGGTTTTGAACTCAGCCTCCTGCTTGCTAAACCAGCACTCTACCACTTGAGCCACACTCCCAGCCCACATCATGTTTCTTTTTTGTTAATTACTTATTCAGCTCTAAAACCCATTTGTGTTGGATTGTTCTTTTTATTATTCAGTTGTAGAGGTTATTTATAAATTCTGAATGCTAATCTTTTGTCACTTTTGTGAAACAAACACTAAGATTCTGAACTGCCTTGGTATTTCTTAGTCTTGACTCTGCTTTTATACTGGTTTCTCTGCCTTGTTACATATTTAACATTCCACAAGAGGGCTTGTTCAAAGTTTCAAATTGGTCAAGAATTCTTGTTGAGATTATATTATATTTTCAAGTTAAAATTGAGACCATTTACTATCTAGCTCTCTCTCTCTCTCTCTCTCTCTCTTAACTAAACTCAAATCCTGAAGATGTGAAAGTATTGAAGACAGCATTGGAAATAAAAGTCACTCTGGTATTTTTACTGATGCAAAAATCATAAAGAAACTGTCCTAAAATTGACAGTCCTGTATAGTGTACTTATTTCTTTCAATAGTAGTAACTAAATTGATAGACAGTTGAAGGTGGAGTTTTGAGGGGAATGCAGACAAGCCAATCAACAAGCAGAAAGACTCACCAAAACTAAATTGTGTGCAAGTTATAAGAGGATAGCTTTGGCTTCAATATAAGGAAGGACTTTCTTAACACTAAGCAAAGTCAACTAAATTAACTCATGGATTTGTAAGCTTCCTAGTCACTGGCAGTATTAATGCAGGTTATGAGTGAGCACTAATAGTCACAGTGTTTTAGGACTAGGATGTATCTAAAGATTGTCTTAGTTGAGCCTCTTTTTGTAGCTGAAAAAACTGAGGTCTCGGTGTTGTAGTCAGAGTGGTTTGTGGCTGAGTTAGGACGAGATTGAGCTGTCTTCCTTTAGGCCAGAGTCTGTAGCTTACCACATTTGTTCTCTATGGGAGTGGGAGTGGGATTATGGAGTGATCAAGAGGTGATCCTTGCATACGGGGAAATTTTCTGATCTAGGTTGTGTGATACTGATTATACCCTGATCCTATGTTGGTTTCCCTAGCACATTAAGATTAATATTAGAGCATTTATCAAAAATGCTGTGCTATTTATTAACATGACTGTCTCCAGGGTATTGACCATGTCTGACTAATCTCTGCTCCTGCTCCAGAATGGTACTTAATAAATAACTTGTTGTATGTATGGATGCCTAGTAATAGATAATAGGAAAAAGGTAGCAGTAATGGGGAGACTAGGGAAGAACAGAACCTCCATGGGAAAAATATACTAAGGAGATTTTGAGAATAAGAAATGATATTTTTTTTGGTGGTACTGGGATTTGAAAAATCAAGGCCTCATGCTTGCTAGGCATATGCTCTACCACTTGAGCCACTCCACCAGCAAGAAATGGTATTTAAAAGATGAGAACTACAAGATAGAATTTGCTGTTGTTATCAACATCTGATAACTATACGAGTACTAATCCCATCTCTACCATTTAGAAACTATGAAATCTGGCAAGTGTAAACTCTATGTTTCAGTTCACTCTTCTGTAAAATGGGGTTAGTAATGATGTGTTCCTCATAGGGCGTGTGTGACTGTGTCACTTGGAAAGTGTCTGTCACCTATAAACCAGTATGAAAGGTCGTCAATTACAGTTTTCTCTTTTATTAATAGTATTAGTACATGGGGTCCTAGAATCTTGTTGGATCTGATTATTTTTTTAATAAGGCTTGGTGGGTTCATTCCTAGATATGTATAATTAGGACTACAAAGAGAATATTGGAGTTTATCCAGGGTTGGCTGTAAATAAGTGTGCATTTTTATCTGTCTGCATACAATTAGAGAAACTAAAACTTGGATAGTCTGAAATCCAGGATAATAGTGATAAGTGAATCTTGAAATGACACCATCTTTGCATCCCTTAGAATGTAGATCTAAGGGAAATACTTTTGGGAAACTTCTGCGTTCCATTCAGAATCAGACAGTTATGAAGCTTTTGGGAATGGGTAGTGCCTAGGGGATCTTCGCACTTGACAGGAAATTCTGTTACGCTATTCATTTATAAAAATGCAATGTATTTTTGTAGCCAACAGTATAAAATTTCCAGTAAACTGAGGAGTTGGCATCTTGTATTTTTTGTTATGATCTTGAAATTTAATGGCAAAAGTAGAGAATTTTTTTAATGAAGTGAAATGAGTATGTAAAGTCTTGTTCTTTGGTTTTTGAAGGAAAAATCTATTTCTACTAGTTGAAGATATATAAAGATTAGTAAGTTTATTTTCAAAAATGGAAAGGTTAGATCCCTAGGTTCTCACCTTGTTACAGGAAGCAGTGAGTGATGGAGCCAAAATTGAGACAGTCAGGGGAAACACAGAAACAAGGACATAGACATCCAAACTGAATCTCTGTGATTCATGAACATGAATTTAGTATCTGACTAAACTTGGAAGAGAGTGTGTCTGGAAATTCCACCCACTTTCAGATGTGGTTATAGAGACAAATGAGAGACAGAAGGGAGGAATACTATACATCTATTTTAATTATTATGATGGTTAGGGATATACGGGTGTGTTGCCCTTGAGCCTATGTAATTTCTGAGAATTCTTTCTTTGGATTATAACTATCTATAAAACTTCATGATCATGTGGAAAGATTAAGCTATATTACAGTGAGCATTAACCTACATTTCTGCTTCTTTTTTAGACTTGGGAAGATCCCCATCAAAAAGATAAGAACACAGACTGCTGTGGAGATAATGATCCTATTGATGTTTGTGAAATAGGCTCAAAGGTTTGTTTTATAGACTGTGTTAATTCTAACATGTGTTTTGGTTTATTCATGCCATAAAATTTCATTTTAGTCTCTATTTCTTCAACTCTTCAAAGTGCAAGCCTATTGACTCTTCTGGTGTACTCAGTCTCTGATTTCCTTCTCTTAAGCCAGGAGTTGGTAAAATACATCAAATAGAATCCAGATACCACCTGATTTTGATTTTTTTTTTTTTAAAAAACAAAAAAACATGTATAAAACACATGTATGCCCAATCATGCACACATTTTCTAGGACTGCTTTTGCACCACATCAGCAGAGTTGAGGAATTGTGGCAGCGATTGTAGGGTCTGTGAAGTCTAAAACATGTTACATGACCTTTTACAGTAAGTTTGCGAAACTCTATCTTTAGCTACCTTGCCATTATCCAGACAGAAACTTCATACTGATGAAAGTCAACTGGTTCTTTTTTCTTTTTTCCCTAAACTTTAATTGGCAGAATAATTTGTTCATTATGAAAATAGTAAATAATAATTAAAAGTATCAGATTCTTACGATTGCAAGTTTAAGGCCAGCCTGGGCTACTTAGTGAGTTCCAGATCAGTGGCCAGACCCTGTCTCAAACAAAACACATTATTTTAGTTGTACAGATTTATGACATCAAGTGCAATAGTTCTAAATACATGCACACATACATATATGGTGTGTTATAATCAAATCAGAATAGTTAACACTTTCAAATCCTTAAATGTTTTAAAAATTTGGTCAGCACATAATATGCAAATTTATGAGGTATAGTGAGACATTTCAATATGAGCAGATATGTTCTGACTAAATCAGGGTAATTAATATTAGCATCTCCTTATCATTTTGGTGAATTTGATATTGAAAATGGTTATTTTAATTTTCACTTCTATAATTTTTTATTATATATTCATTGCATGGGGGGATTCATTGTAACAGTTCCACATAGGCTTATATTATACATTGGTTAGATCACCTTCACCCTCTCTCTCTCTTGACCCCCTCCCCACCTGACTTAAAGCAATTGCAAGAGGTTTCTTTGTTCTATTTCATGCAAGTGTATGAAGTCCATCCACGTATACCCTTGCCTTAATCTTCTTTCACCCTTCCCCCTCCTACAAGTACCCCCTCCCCCACACACACCATACCTATTTTACAACTGTCTTTTGTTATTAATATTTGAGTCAGTGTTCCAAGGGGTTTCTCAATGTGTCCTTGCTGAGAGTTTCTTTACTTTGGTCTATTCAACCCCTTCCATTGCTCTCCTTTACCCTTATATCCTCCACCTACACAGAGGTTATGTTTTACAATATTGTTGATGCTCTATCTTTTCCTTTCCCTCCTTCCCTGAGTTCCAGAGTAGTTCCACTGTTAAAAACATTGTACATATGAGTTTGTATATGATCATATTTGTTTTTGTGTATATTTGTCTTTTGGATCTGTCTTTCATGTATGAGAGTAAACATGCAGCTTTTGTGTTTCTGAGCCTGGCTTACTTCACTTAACATGATGTCCTCCAATTGCATCCATTGACTTTCCATCCACAGGTCATTATTCCTTATGGCTGAGTTAAAACTCCATTGTATATATGTACCACGTTTTCTTGATCCATTTGTCAGTTGTAGAGCATCTGGGTTATTTCCATACCTTGGCTACTGTGATAGTGCTGTGATGGACATTGGTGTACAGGTGTCTCTATTGTATCCTGACTTTACGTTCCTTTGGGTAGATGTCCAGGAGTGGTATCACTGGATCATATGGCAGTTCTATCTTTAACTTTTTGAGGAATCCCCATACTGCTTTCCATAGTTGTTGTACTAACTGGCATTCCCACCAACAGTGCATAAAGGTTCCTGTTTCTCCTCATCCTTGCCAACATTTATTGTTCTTTTTCTTTTTGTACCTGCTTCCAGGTTGCAAGTCCTATTGGTGACAAACAAACCCCACAATCTCACAGATTGATGTTACTCTTCAGTTCTTCTCTATGTCTTCAGCCACTTCTTTCTTCTTTTTTCTACTACATTTATTATAAATATTTCTTGTCTCTGCTTGTCCCACTTTGTTCACACTTCCAGCAGAACATCTAGTCTTTCATTTTGTACAACTCATAAACACTAACAGGTGAGAATTCCCTCACCTTTCCCTCAGAACTGCATCTGCAAGCATTGTTCTCTTGCTCCCACTACCTGTGCTTGAACTTGATTCTGTCCTTTCAGTAGTTTAAATGGTGCTGTTTTCTAATCCCTTCTCTTTCCTGTGTTAGTATTGGCTTCTTTCCACATGCTGCCTCCCTTCTTCCCCTTTTTACATGCAGACTTGTGAGAAGAGTTTTTAGCACTCATCCCATTTCCTACTTTCCTTGTAATCTTCAACCCATTGCAAAATTGTTTCTATCACCCCCACCGCCACCATTTCATTCAAACTGCTCTCACTAAGGTCAATGATAGCTTTCTTTTAGCCAAATCTAATGAGCCTGTTTCATAGGCTTTGTTAATTTAAATTTGCTTTAGCATTTTATGTTGTTGACTTCCTCTTCTTGAGTCAGTCAGTTCTTCACTGACTACTATATCATAGTATTTTCTCTAATCATTCTGAGTCCTTCCTCTTGGTTTGTTTTTCGAGGTCCTTTTCTTCTGCTACTCTATAGCTGCTGGATGTACTCTTATGCAACTCCTTTCTCCTCATGTAGGAACTCTCTTGGTGATCCAATCTCCAGTACCCCTGGTTTTGCTCTCACATTGGTAAGTTCAGCTCAGATCCACATACTCAACTACCATATCTGTACTTGGATGTTTCTCAGTCTTCCCAAACTCATCCTGTCCCAAGCTGTATTCATTATTTTCCTCTCTCACTAACTTCTCTTTAGTAATTTCAGTCTCAGTGAATGACATCTCTCCTCTTTCCTTTCCCATCTCCAGATTCTTAAGCTAGAAACTGAGTGGTGCTCCTTGACCTCAATCTGTGCTTTTTTTCACCCAGTTAATCATGAAAAATTGCTTCCATGTCCCAGAGAGCTTTTAAATTTGTTTGACTCTTTCCATTCTCACTGCTGCTAACTTTATCCAGTCCATTCATATCTTACTTGAATTTTTCCTCCTACTAACCATTTTCCTTCCTAAGTCTTGTCCCTATCATCACTTTTATTCTATTCTCCTGCTTTACTTTCTTGAGGACCTGGCTCCTACACCTCTTCTGGCTTCCTTTCTTGCCACTCATTGTCTGGACACTGCCCACCAGCTGTGCTGATCTTTCTGTTCCTGCAGTGCATCTGTTCTCACTCATGTCCAGGCTTTTACGCAAGCTGTTCCCTCTGGAAGAGTGTTTACATTATTGTACTTCCTCCTTCTTTTCACTCTTGTTCCCACTGCTCATCTAAAGATACCAGCTAAAATCACTTCCCCTGGGAAGTCTTCTTTGACCCTCCATGGACTACAGTCATTGTTCTGTGTTATGTGCGCAAATTCATATTTCTAGTTTATACACAGATAAGTTAGAATTCCTGTGTATGTGACTATAATTCCTGTATCTCTCCAGCAGAAATATGAACCAATTGTAAGCTTTTTTTCTTTTTTCAAATTTAAGCTATCGTTATGGGAACTTAATTTTTGAACACTTTCTCCCCAGAAGGAGTACCAAACTATGTATAAAAAGAATAGACTCAAAGTAATGAAAGATATTTCAATGAGTACCTGCTATGCCACTGCTGGGTTCTTCAGTCACATCCCCTTATCCTATTGCATAATATGTAAGAGTCACTAAAGCAGTGTGCTGGGGTCATTTACTTCATATTTAGTACAAATTATTAAATCAGTTTAAACCTTGTACAGGTGTTAAGTGTGAGTGAAAAGATTAAATAAAAGTCTCTTTTTCCACCCATGTAAAAATGTGTCAGTGAACATGTAATTAACTGTGTTAGCTGGAAGGAATCACATGAAAACATTTGTACCTGATAAATTGATTTGACTTAGTAACAATAATTTGTTACTGACAGAACAAATGAATAACTCAGAAAACTCAATATGGGTTTTTAAATAAATGTGTCAAAGTAACTGAATATGCAGAATAAAACTAAAGACTTTAAATATAAGTGATTTTTAATATGGTATATATATTACCAAAACCATATTTTTACACTTTACATATAAAGCTTAGAACATAATAGATATATAGTGACTACTGAAAAGTATATTGAATAGTCATTGTTCTATTTTGTGTAGCTGTAGTGTTAATTATTAATGATCAAATGAGAGCACTTCAAATTTAACGTAGATTAGGATATTATAAGGTATAGGGGAAATTTTCACAGACCAAGAAATACCAAGAGCAGGGAAGACATTCTAGAATGATGAAATTATTAGAAAGCATATAAAAGAAAAAAAACGAATCCCTAGGTCCTACAGTTGCCAGTACATAAAATATTGCTACTTTATTCTAGAGTCATACTTTTGTAGGCTTAGCCCACTATTTGAATCCAATGAGCCCTAAATGCTATTTTTTTTCTTCTGTGGGAAATGATTTCTTATATTTGTCTACTTTTGTTTTTATCTTCGACCAAAATGTTTTCAATATTTTGTATTTTTTTCCTTCAGTGTTATTTACTATGCAAGAAAATTCTAGTTATATTAATGGAAGTAAAATCAAAGACAAACCTTCCCTCACAATTCTGCTACCTCAATAAGTTACATTGTCTTACTCTTTCCATGTTTTCTTCTTTCTTGAATAAATGTATAAATATTTTGAGTTTGTTGGGCATTTTTTCCAGTTTTTTTTAATAGAATTGATAATAGTTAAAGAAGTTTTCCTACATATAGCTTTTCCATTTTAATTTCTTTTGGAATAACTAGATATGACAGAATTTCTAAAATGGCACCCAAAAGATATCTTCTCTAATGCCTAGAGCCTACAGATACGGTGAGACACCACTCTTCTAGATTATGTTACTTTTCATAGCATAATTTGCTCTCAAGTAGGGTGGTTATCTTTGTTTATTCATGCAT